ATTTTGTTGTAGTGATGGACATATGAAATATGGTATATCATTTCTTTTTTTCTTTTTTTTTTCGTATTATAAAATTTCCCTCTTATTGCACATGCCAAAATAACCTTAAAAAATTATACTTTTTTTAACACACTTTTTATGTAAAATTGTAGTACCATTTTTTTTTAAGTTTCTTAAAAGTTACGAAACGGAGAGGTACTTTTAAACTTTCATTTATTTCTTTTCCTCTAAAATATTAAAGACGAAAACATCCAAAATGTAATAAACACAGGGGTCATTCTAGAATAAGGCATCGTTTGGAAAGTTTGTTATTTTAGTAGGTTATTTTAGTTTTTGACTATTTTAGTAGGTTAAAATTTTTGTATTTGAAAAGATGGTTAGATTTTTTATAGTTGGATGTGATATTTGTGAATAAGGCTAGGCATAGGGTTATCTAACTTGCGAAAACTGCTCAATCCGAACCGCCCATGCCTATTTGGGCAGTTTCACAAAATTGTTAGGGTCGGATGCGGTTTAAGATTTTTCCTATTTTGCGGGTTGTGGGTTTTATCCGCATCCGCACTCACCCGCCCGCATCTGTATATATATATTTTTAAAATCTGGACCATCAAAGCTTTGGAGCGATCAAAGAAGAGGAATGCATCAGCGTTGGGCACACCAAAGGTAAAATAAACAAGCAATGCTAACTCCTTCAACTTTTTATGCTATAATGTTCTATTGTACCTCAAGTAGTATTAGTAGTTTGAAGTTGTCTAGCATTTACATTTTACTACAGGAAAAGTTTTAAGTTGTAAAGAGCAGATAATGAGGTTTTTTTATAGAGAAAATTCATGTCTGCCTGTTGAATAGATTATTGAATGTGTGAATGATTCTTCTATAGGTTCCTAATGTAAAGAATGATGTGCTTGTGTTAGTTTATGATTTTACTTAAAAATTTAGGATTTTGAATGTTTTGCTTGTATTAGGAATTAATTTTGTTGTGTTTTTAATTTTATAAGTTTTAATTCATTAATTATTGATGTTCTAAAATAATGAGGAAAAACAGGCCAAAGTTTTGCTTTTTAAATGAAAAAGTTCAATTCGTAAACCGCCCATAACCACCCGCATATCCGCGAACCATATCCGCATAAACCGCAACCCGCACTTCGGGCGGTTGCAAGTTCAATTTTTTCCAAACCGCAGACATGCGGGCGGGTCTAAACCGCAAACCAAACCGTCCAAAACCGATCCGGGACCACACCTATTTGTGAGAGAAAAAGTGAAACAAAAATTGCTAGAGACCCTAAAAATTCTACCAACTGTCTCACATGGGTGTGGGACTTACATGGGACCCACATTGTGCCATGTGGGTCCTACACCCATGTGAGACATTTGATAAAAACTTTAGTAGAATTTTTTGGGTCTCTATCATTACTTAAAATGAAATGACTATGGGTTTGATGTGACTGTAGCTTGACTTTTCGCACTCTTTTTCGGAAAACGAATAAGCCCTACAATATCAGACTCCCCGGTTCTGAATCTGATCTCACAAGTGCAATGTAAAATAGATAAACACCGAAGAGTCCAAATCCGGCGAATCTTTTGAAAAATCAATTTTGAATCAAATTGCCAAAAATAGATTGCTTTGCCAAATACGGACTGCTTTGCCAAATATATAGTCGCCACCCAAATATTTTTGAAAAATTTAGGAAACCCATAACTCATGCCAAAGGCCACGTGTCTGTCATCACCAAGATTGTCTCGGCCCGGGAACTTAGGTACGAGAGGGAAATGTCATGAATTGAGCACCCCCACTCGCCCGATCAAAGATCGGCCTCTACTAATCATGATGTGGATCTTATCTACATTATATACTCTTGTTCCAATTATTAGGCTAGCATTACTATGTGATGCATACACACACAAGTATAGACTAATTTGCAAGAATTGGAACCCTTTGACCCATGTTTGTTTTGAAAATTGTTTCGAATATGTACCACTTGATTACTCAAATTATTTCAATTCAAGCAACTAGCTTTCATTCACAGGCATTCAAGCAGTTTATCGTTTAAGCATTTAGCCTCATGACAAGTATGTTAGACATGGCAACAACTACATTCATGCAATATGCTAAAACGAGTAAAGGCTTACCTAGTACTCCAATCCAAAAAAAGATGATAAAGTTAGAAAAATGCATGATCCTAACTAGGCAATATGACTAATGCAACACATGCGATATACAATATAAATAGGCTTGGCTACTAATGTGGCATATGAATCAATTGGATGACATGCGGCCTAAGCACGTATTCAAAGAAGTGTAAGCAATAACAATGCAAGCTAGAATGATGAATCGAGCCTCGATGCACGTAATACAAGTGGATGCAAACATGAGGTATGCTAACCAAAACATGATGCCCTAAACTAATCATCATAAGCTAGTAAATAAAAGAGAGAAAGACGTGGGGTTGGAAGACATATACATTATTACAAGATTTGCGCCCTCATGCAGAGGGTCCAAATAAACTAACTAGCTAGGCTAATTACTACGAATTAACTAACTATTACAAAACGAAATGAATAAATTAGCTAAGCTACTTAACTAATTATTATAACAACAAATTAATAAATTATTCTAGCTAATTAACTAATTATTACAAGACAAAATTAAATAACTAGTCTAGCAAACTAATTATTTACAACACTTTACAAAATTAACTAGTTACAACTAATTAATTACAACAAATATCTAAGCTAAGTAATTAGATTAAGCAGCCTCGGGAAACGAGGAGTGCTCATACATATGCGCGGATTTCTACCTGAAAAAGCCACTGTTCTGCTGCCAGGAAGCCTCTGTTGCACAGTTAGAACATCTACACTGATTTCTACCTCAGAACCAACTCTGTTTTGTTTCAACAAGTCACTGTTGGATTTTACAAAGGTGGCCGACAGGCTAGAAGTGGTGGCCTGCTGGCCACAAATGATGGCCTGCTATCCACAGGAGGTGGCCTGCCGACCACTGCTCCCTGGTTCTTTCTATTGCAACAGAGAGCAAACATTGCACAATACAGCGTATTCTCAAGGGTTGTTTGCACAACTTATCCCTCATTTTCATCAAACAACTCAAAGGAGTAGTAAATTTGATTCACAAGCCATCAATGGATGCAATTTCATTGCATGATGGCCTATGAACCAAAATGTGCAAGTTCAATAAATGCAACAAATAAAGACTCTCAAACCTCCTTCCTATCATGGATGATCATGAGAAGTGGTTGACAATGACTCTTGAACCGTTTTCATCACTAATGAGTATGAAACGACTTAAGACTCAAGGGTTTAATTAACGTCCAATTGAACCCTAACAAAGTTATTATTTTGCATCATTTTTAGTTCCCAATTTTATTACTCCATTTTAATTACCAACCATTCCTTAGTAAATTAAGTCCAAAGGTGAGCTTTAAGTCCACTAATGGAAAGGAGCATCAAACCAAACGTTGTTTTAGGCACGAGAGAGATGCATGCCTTTGGTAATGAGCCCCCAAAGGGATTAAACCATTAAGAACAACAGTGCTGGAATGAGAGAGATGTAAGTCCTAATATACACTAAAATAGTGCTGGAATTGAAGTGGAAACAGCTAAAAAAAAAAGCTAAAATAATGAAGCTTTTGAGCTAGTAAACAAGCATAAAGAGGGGTGGTTAACCCCTCCATTTTTAGGACCTCAAAACAAAATTTTTAGCCTCTGAAAACCTCTAAAAATCAGTGGTAAAAATCTCAAAAAAAGTTGATGAAAAGATGGGAAACACAAGGGCAAAAGCTTAGAGGACAATGTTCAAAGAAGAGTGGTTAACCCCTCCACCTTTGGTAGCTTTAAACCACAAGTTTCAGCCCATAAAAATAGTTAAAAAATAGTTTAAGAATAGCAAGAAAATATAGGAAAGAAGTAGTGCAAAGGAGCTAGTAATTATAACTCTTGAAAAGGAATAACACTTTTTGTTCACAAACCAACAAGTTCTCACTCTCAAAGGCTGAAATTTGGACTCAATAATCTCAGCAAGGAGAGCTCCAATAGCCCTGTTTGGTAGGGCTTATTTCCAACTTATTTCATGTTTTAGCTTAATTTAAGCTATTTTGATATGTTTGGTTTAGCTTAACAATACAGTTTATAGCTATTTGTAAGTCAAAAATCAACTTATTCTTTGAGTGGAGGAGGAGAAGCTTAATTTATAAGTCAAAAGCTATGTTCACAGTTACAAGCTATAAGCTGTTAAGGTATAAGCTATAATCACTTTCCCACAACTCTACCAAACGGGGCCAATATTGGTTTAGGAAGTGTAGAGAGAGAGTGTATACGTTGCAAGATAGAGATAGAGATAGAGATAGAGATAGAAAGAGAATTTCAAGTTTTGGCCCTTTTGGAAATTTTTGTAACCTTCAATCAAGAAGGAAGGCCTGGTATATATAGAAAATCAGCCCCCAGGTTAAAAATGTCATGCCTGGAACAGTTGGAGCTTTTAGGGGACAGCTGGCCAAAAGTATCTGTGTTTTTCACTAGTGGCCGGCAAGCCAGAAGTGTGAATTGCCTGCCACAAATAGTGGCTTGTCTGCCACAAAAATATGCTTTTAAGCCCGACTTTAAACGGGCATATCTCATTCATCCAGACTTAGTTTTAGGTCATTCTTGAGTCTAAATTGAAGCCCTAGAAGTCTAATTTCCAATGGAGGTGGCCTCACGTCTAAATTATAAGTGTGTAATGTCAATACTGGCCTCAGCGCAACATGGGTACTTACACATGACAGAACCATGTTTCAACGAGGGAAAGGTATGGACACATGCCAAACTAAACTTAACATGGAAAGGATGCAGGCGATATAATGGATAATGATGTAATGAATGTAATGAATTCTATATGCAATGTAATAGAAGTACTAGATCTGATGCAATAGATAATAACTATGATGTAGCAGCTTGGAAGTGATGCCATAGAAAATACCCTACAAGGGCAATTGGCGGTGACTTACCTTATGCTGCTGTGGATCTTTCCTCTTCTTCTTGGTTTCAAGACTTCTTCCCACATCTTGCGCTTCCAAACCACGGATACTACTTTTCTCCTTGGATATGTTCATAGCTTTCTCTATTCTCCAACAGGATAACAGACTAGGTTGGTTCAATGTCTAGAATTGAGTCGTATACAAACTACTTCAACCTATGGGGCTGCCATACATACACCCCTGGGTATTTAAACCAGACTTTAGTCTCAGAAATCTCGAACCTTTGTGTTCTAGGCCTCAGCCATTCAAACTCTAGTTTCTACCGTCTTTGTTGATCTCCTAGGAACTCATCGCAAACACAGTCAGGTGGCTACACCAAACCGCTTGAAGCCGTTCAGGCACGACAAACACTAAAGGAATTGTGTCTTTAGAGGATTTAAGGTCTCCTAGACCTAGTAAGTGCACAGGGCAATGCGGATGAGGTGCACAAAATAGTGCGAGTGACGGTGCACAAGACAGTGCGAGACAAGGTGAATGCACAAAATAGTGCGATGCAAGTTGCACAAGATAGTGCGACGTGGGTGCACAAAACAATGCGATGTGGGTGCACAAATTAGTGCTATGTGGGTTGAATGCACAAGACAGTGCGATGCAAGGTGCATAAAATAGTGCGATCCAAAGTGCACAGGATAGAGCGATGCAAGGTGAATGCACAAAGGTGCACAAGACAATGCAATGCAAGTGCACAAGACAGTGCGATACAAGTGCACAAGACAGTGCGATACGGGATTGTGACAACCCTCACCTTTGATTAGTGTTAAATTGTGATTAAGCATGATAAGTAATTGATTAAGATGAAATCCTGAATTGATTGCATGAGTGTGTTGCTTTAAATGCATTTCTATCTGTTTGTTACTGAATGATCTGTTCATAATTTAATTTCGAACTGCGAATTGAAAGCCTTATCAGCGACCGAATCAGAAATTGATTAGTGTTATACGCTAATTAGGATTTATATGTTTTTATGGTAGGTTTAATTAAAATTTGATTAGGAATGAATAAATTAGAATTGTTAAAGTTAAATTATTTGAGCCTAGTTAATTACATGTTTTGCCATTGAGTGGGCCATTCTCAAAAGCATTGTTTGGGATTAATTCATACACTTTGACACACCACTCTTCAGCCATTTTCAAGACCAAACTGAGAGAGAGAGAGAGAGAGAGAGAGAGAGGGGAGTAGGAGAAAAGAATTGATTCAATAAGAATTGGCTTGGAAAATTAGAGGAATTAAAGAGAATTGCATTTTTGAGCTAACATACTTGGAATCCAAGACTTAAGGTATTCTTTCAATTATGAATTTAAGTTGTTACTTGCATGGTTCATGAAAGAATTAGTGATTAGAGTCTAGAATTAGTTTAAAATGTTGTATGCATGTTCATATTTTGGTTATATTCTAGAAATTCAGCATGTTTTTGAGCTCAATCTTGCATTTGGTCATGTTTTGGGGCATTAGAGTTCATAGGAACTCATGCATGTTGTGTTCTTGCTATGTTCATAAAAGTTTTAGTTGAGATTGTGTTCAATTGGCACACTTTTAGGCTTGATTTTATGAAATGATCTTTAAGACATGTTGTACTATGAGTTTCTAAGTATTTTCCAGAAAATTGGCCCAGAAAAATTGAGTTTGAAGCTTTAAAGGTTGAGTTTTGTGCTTGAGGATCAATCTGGAAATTCTAGATTTTTGGATCCACGCTCGAGCGTCGATATTTATGCTCGAGCGTGAAATGCATATGCCCAGAAGTTCATGTGTTTTGCAGTCCGCTCGAGCGAGGTAATCTGCGCTCGAACGAGGGTCTGAGTCTTACGCTCGATCGTGGGTCGAGCATCCATCGAGCGTGAAAAATGTGCAATCAGTACTTTTTCATGAGTTTGCAGTCCGCTCGAGCGAGGGAAATCACGCTTGAGCAGAGCTTCATTGTCTGCATGTCCGCTCGAGCAGAGAAAGCCATGCTCGAGCGAGACCCCTGTTTTCAGCAAATTTTGAAAAGTGTTTTAACGTACATTTTTGCATCCTCATTCCATCTTAGGCATTCCTAGGCCATGTTTAAGGCATCTTAATGAGGATAATGTTATAGAACCACACCAAGTCAAGTTAAGGGGCTAAGTTATTAATCCCTAGTGTGTAACTTAGTGTGTGTTCCTTCTGCAACTGTGTAGGATTGGCACTCGAGAACGCTGACTAGCCTGTCTATAGCCCAGTAATCTGTGAGTAACAATGTTGTAAAGATATGTTCAATTGTAATTATTTCTGAACGATTGACTGTACTACTTTCTGAAATGACAATGTTTACTGAATGAATGTTTGTCCTATTTGTAAACTGTACTCGCGGCATCCATAGCAACTTACTGTTACTGTTACTGTACTGAACTGCTACTGTTACTGTTACAGAGATCTATGTTAGTTCCAATGTTTGGAACCACTACTGTTTACTGTTCTGATGGCCATCAACTGACTGTTCGGTCTATTAAGACCTACTGTACTGTTTTGCTATTGGACGTACCACGTATGACTGTTATGATTTCTAAATGACTGATATGGCATAAAATATGAGCCGCTGATTGAATAACTGATTTACTGATGCAAATGACTGTTTTAATTAATGAGAGGACATTCATTCTTATCCCCTTTACGCATTCGTTATTCACTGGGTTTTAGCTCACTGTTTATATTTATATATAGGTGTCCAGCCACCAGACCGGAGCTAGAAGGGTCAAGTTAAGCTCATGTTTTGTCCAGCCAACCATTGTGCCTCACTTTGAGGTTCCGAATCCGTTCAGGCCAAGGCTATTTGGGGTGTTTCGGATTCACCATTTTGTCTCCGTTTTGTACCAGCTGAATAAGACTTGACTGTACAGTTATGTTAAAGGGATTTGGTCCCTAACCTGGATGTTATGTGTATATGACGTATGTGTATATGTTTTGGTTATGAATGCGGCTCTGTTCATAAAAGTCTTTTTTCATTCAGATTTTCACAGCTCATTGGACATCTTTTTATTACTATTTGGCTTCCGCCAGCCCCTTACTCTGTACTATTGTTATTACTGTTAAGTAGGCCTTTGGTAATCATGGATTACTGGCTGGTTACGATGCTAAACCCATAGGGGCGGGTTTGGGTCGTGACAGAGTGATATCAGAGCACGAGTTATACCGCACACACATGTCCAAATGAGCTATAGGATGTCTTAGAAAGTAATTAGGGTATTGCATGAGCATAAGAAAGTGTATGTGTGGCCATGATATGAATATATGTGCTAATGTGCTTAAGTAAGCAATTTCCTATGTTTATTATTACCGTATTACATATAGTGAAATGGAGAATGCAAGAAATGCCGATGAATCTGAATCATCTGAGGCAAGAATGGCAAGGTTAGAAAGAACGGTTGAACTGTTGACTGAGGCCCTAAGACAACAACAGAACGAACATCCCCCACCTCATCTAGTACAACCAGAACCGAATGTTCATGATGATGTAATTGCTTTGACATAGAATTTCAACAAAATGAAACAACCATCATTCCAAGGAGGTCTTGAGCCATTAAAGGCTCAAGCATGGGTTTTAGAAACCGAAAAGTTGTTTGAAGTGTTTCTGTGTTCTGAAGCACACAAAGTGTTACTGGCTACGTTTACCTTACAAGAAGAAGCTAGATGGTGGTGGATGCTTATACATGATACCAATAATGTTGTGACTTGGGCTTAGTTTAAGGAAGCTTTTTTTGAAAAATACTTTCCCCAGTGTGTCCGAGACCATAAAGTAACTGAATTTGAACAGTTGAAGCAAGGTACCATATCAGTAGCAGAATATGAATCTAAGTTCACCGAACTCGCCCGATATGCACCACACATGGTTGATACTGATTATAAAAAGGCCAGAAAATTTGAAGGCGGGCTTAATGTAGAGATACAGGATTGAATCAATGTCTTGAAACTGCTCAAATATGTAGATGTCCTTGACCGAGCAATTATGGCCGAGGCAAATGACACTGCATTGCAACAGACTAAGACACCGGTGACCGAATGGCGGGGTAAGAGGCGAGGCTTCAATTTCAAAAAGGGCCGAAATAACTCATTGAATAAGAAGCAAAACACAGGGTCAACAAGTAGCTCTAGTCAAGGAAACAGTTCCATACCACCCTGCTTCGAATGCGGCAAAAGGCATAAGGGAGTTTGCTACAAAATTTCTGGGACATGTTACAGGTGTGGCAAGGTGGGCAACATGGTCAAAGATTGCCCTTCCACATCTCAAGGCAATAGTAAGGCTGCAGCTAGTGCCGCAGCATCAACTATTACACCGAAACCCAATCCCAAAGCTACTGAAAAGGAGCCTTTGAGGCAAGGCCGGGTGTTTGCACTTGTACCGGGAGGCGTGCAGAACACCGAGACAGTTGTGTCAGGTATACTCTCAATCTGTGCCCAAAATACTTATATTCTGATTGATTCGGGGTCTACACATTCATTTGTCTCACATGCTTTTTCACGAAAATTAAATAAACCACTGGAACCCATGAACTATTTGTTAGCTGTATCTTCACCTGCTGGGGGATCCATGACTTGTGCTTATGTGATCCTGCATGTGAGATTGTTATTGGGGATGCACTTTTGTGTATTGATTTACTGCATTTGAATATTGATCATTTCGATGTGATTTTGGGAATGGACTGGTTAACGAAATATCATGCTTCCATAGACTGTGTAACGAAACAAGTTGTTTTTCGTCCACCTGGATTGCCTGAATTTGTATTCAACGAGGTTGGAGTAGTACCTCCTCCATATCTGATTTCGTCCATGAAAGCATTCAAATTAATTAAAATGGGGTGTCAAGGGTATTTATGTTGCATATTGATTGTACCTGCTAGGGGTGGGCAACGGTTTATCCGAACTGCTCAAACCGCTCAACCCGCATATAAATGGGCGGTTTCACAAACATAATTTGGGCGGATGTAGTTTGAAATATGAAAAATTTGCGGGTTGCGGGCAGGTCGCGGGTTAAACCCACAAAAACTGCCCGCACTTTAATTATTATTATTATTTATATACCAACTTTGTAACTTTAACAGGAGCATCATTATGTTCTTTAT